CCTCCCTAACAGTAGGCGGCACTGATCTGAGCCCCACCCCCATGCCCCTTCCTTCCCCCTCCTCTTTTACCACACCAAACTTACCACCTGATGGCAGCTGTATTAGATCGGTATTAGCTGATGTGCCTCCTTAAATATTGGCTATCGGTGTTTGCCCCCAAAATCTCAATCCGTGTGCCCATGATCTTCATCTGGTCAACAGACCTGGGGCTTCACTGGCATTCAGCACACAGGCTTCATCTGGAGCCATGATGTACCATGGCTGGGTAGCCAAAAATGGTAGCAGCCAGCCAGCCTCAGACCCAAGCTGGGTCACTCCAGCTCACTATTGGAAAACACTGCTGACTGCTGATTTACATCCATTTTATGGACTTCTGTGCTTCTTACGGTTACGGACCCCTAAAAATGTGCCAGAAGTACACTGTATGGTGGCTCCTTTAATCTTAGTTTTCCCCGCACATCACCCCACCACTGACTGACAGAGGGTCCCCACTGCTTGCCCCCATTTGGCAAGGAGGCAAAAACCTCAGTTTTAAATACTGTGGTTTTTGCCTCCTGCAGTTGATTGGTAGAGAAGCCCCAACAGCCCCACCACCTGCTACTGACCGGTCAGGAGGCAAAACCCGGGTCATATTTAAAACTGCAGTTTGCTTCCTGCCCCATCAGAAGTGAATGGCAAGGCCAACAGGGCCCCTCCACCAGTCACCAGCAGGGGCGCACATGGGGAAAGTGCAAAATTAAAGGAGCCACCGCATTTCTGGCACAGATTCCAGTGCTCCCTATTTACAATTTAACTTCTCTGTGCCTGCACTGAAATATTCCTCAATAAAGACAACTCACTGTTGTGAGGTAGCAGCTAATACTCAACTCCCGTTCTTGTTACTAAGTTCTCTTTTCACATGAAAAGTTTGGCTAGTCTTAGTATCGCAGAATCACAGAGCAGTAGGGCTGGAAGGGACCTCCAGAGATTATCTAGACCAGGGGGTTTCAACCTTTTTTTAACAAGTGTACCTCTTCTCTCAAATACCCAGCTCAGGTACCCCCTTATATTTTTTTCTTGTTTTAAAAGGGGGGAAGGGGGTGCAAATTGAGGACCCTGTGGTAAGGGAGGGATTGGGGCTGAGGCTGCACAGCCAAGGTGGAGCGTGGGACAGAGCTGCAAGCGGCTCATCTGGGGGGTGTGGGGAGGGCTGGTGCACAGACCCCAGGAGGGATCTGCACACAAGGTAAGGACAGGTTGGCCCGGCGGTGGAGGTGGGAGTGCGGCTGTGGCAGGGGCTGCCCTACCAGGGCAGGGCACAGGACTGAGCCGCATGCAGGGCGGCTCCCGCAGCTGCGCGTACCCCTGGGAGAACACGCACGTGTGTGTGACCGGATCTACGTGGGGCAGGGTGGGCTGCCGCTGAGGACTGGGGTTGCGCCGGGCTCTTCCTGGCAGGCAGGGGTATCTAGACAGCAAAGACACGCGACTACGCCACCAGTCGAACGCACATCAAAGAACAGAGGGTTGTAGACAGCGAGCGGCAGATCGATGTGGCCGAAGTGCCCCGGGCAGCTGTCGAAGTCCTGCATGCAAGTGGTACAGGCTTCTCTAGAGTCCGGCGGGCCCAGAGACAGGTCGTAGAGACCGTTGGCGGCGGGATTCCCCACGTTGTCCAGGTAGCGTGGGTTGGTGATAGCCTTCACACTTAGTTTCCTGAAGATCAAGACAGAGCATCAGCACCCCAAGCTTCTCCCCTTCCCTAGTACCCTGCCTAGGTGTTAAATGGGCTCACCCGCCAGAGTGGTAGCGTCCTGCCTCGCCCACCCCCAACCCCCAGCCCACTAGAGCGGCACCGCCCACTGCTGGGGGCAAGGGGAGCTTATCCCTGTGCTCTGCACAGCTCCGCACCAGGACTACACGCCCCAAAATGCCCCGCACGCAGGCCCCGCCAGGGAATGCCGCGGAGCGGCGCAAGGCATACCGGGAACTGTAGTCCCCGCCGGGTGGAGGGGCGCCCAGCTTGCTCCTCACCTGAGCTCCTCGGCCGTGTACATCCCGAACGAGATCCCGGCCAACCGCCGCCACGGCACCTCTCGGGGTAGCGCCATGATAGGCAACCGCCCGCGCCGCTGTTAATCTCCCGGCCCGAACTACACGCAGCTGCGCCACGCGGTGGTGGAGCTGCCGAGAGGAAGGGGGTGGGGCCGGAACCTACCAAGTGCCGGGGGGGGGGCAAGGAATGGGACCTCCCCGAAGGAATGGTACCGCCCTTCCCGGCCTGCACCGTGCGGGGTGCTAAGATGGCTGTGCGGTGGCTGGGTGCCGTATCGTGGCGGCAGGCGGCACAGGTCCGCGGACGGGGCTGTTTGCAGGCGCCCGGCTCCGGGAGGGCGCAGACGGGCAGGTGCGGGGCGCGGTCTGCCGGCTCCAAGCGGGGAGGCCGCCGCCTGGCAAGCCGGTGACTCCGGCGGGGATGGTTGAGCAGCGGCGCATGCGCCACGAAGCTTGGGCGGTAGTGGCTGTTGTCGCAAGTTGCGCGGCTGGCCCTATGCGACTGGAGGCGGAGAGGTTTCCGCGTGTGTCGTGGCGGCCCTGGGCCCACTCCGCGGCTCTGCAGACCGGTCCGTATTAGAGTACGAGCCGAGTTCGAGACCTGGCTGGGGCTGTTGGTGGGACTTCAGTGTCTGCTATTCCCCCGGCTTCAGAAAGACCCGGTCGGCTGTGTGCAGCCGCTTTGAGAATGATGTGGTGCTCCCTGCAGCACCAGCTGGGTGATGTGAAGCAGGCTGGGGTGCTGTTCTGCCTGTAAGAAGAAATGCAAAAATCTTGACCTCTTGGGTCAGAGATGATGCCTTTTCAAAAAAAAAAAAAAGCCTTTTTCAACAAGCTTTTGGGCTTACACTCTTCATTGGGCTAGGGAAAATTAAGGATAGTTAAAAGTCCCCATGGGTAGGAAATAAACTTCATTTTTGCACATGGGAGCTGGAGATGAAAACTCTGTCGCTTGGGGTCTATGAGAGCATCTTTGTGAGTTGCTCTTTGTTGCGCAGATCAAGCAGGATGTCTCCCTTGGTGGTGTCAGATGGCAGGCAGGGAGGCACAGAAATCTGTCTTGTTCAGCAGTGAAGTCTATAATCCAAAATCGGCTAGAATTCACTGAATTTGATCCCTTCTGCATGCAATTAGGCATGTATAGGTTTGTGCAGGGTCAAAGCCAATGTAGAGCCTGTGTCGCCCCCACCCTGCAGCAGGGCTGGGACTACAAGTCCATCTGTAAGCAGAAATAATTTGTTTAGACTGGAGCAAGTGTGACTCTGCTATATGTGACATGTATCATGCAATTTATTATGCAGTAAATTTCGACCTGCCACATCCAGAATAATGGTTGCACCCCAGAAGTGAGACTCCAGTCTCCTTTCACTATGAAAGGAGCCAGCCAGTTATCAAGTTTGTGCTTGAAAATGTGGAGGAACTCGAGAGCTGGTTTCTGTCTGGTTATTTTGAACATGTGGAAAGGCCTGTAGAGATTCGGTATGAATGGCTCTGCATTTAGATTATGACAGAAAACTAAGCGCAGTTGAGAGAGACCTGTAGTAGAGGATGTCTCTTCATATCTGTAGCAAGCCACCCACGTCGGGCCTGAGCGCAAAATGTCTGTCCATCAATAGAGAGGAGAGTAGATAAAGATCCCGCACCTGGGGTTTTCAATCTGTTCACTTTCTGAGAGCTTTGTGTTAGGCCCATGACGGTGTTCATCTGGCTTCTGTCCACAGATATATAGATATATGGCTGTATATAGATATTCCAGCTTAAAGCTGTTGTTTATGTAGGCAGCATTGCCCTGCTGAATATGCAAAACAAATAAACAGAAACCTTGGGAAAAGTCTCTACAAAGCATGAGGCCAGTCTCTCCCTTCACTTTGCCTTTTGCTTTTGAACTTTATGAGTGTATTTTCAAGCTTCTTTGCTGCAGCCACAATGGCCAAAAACTTGCACAGTGCTTTTTTACCCGCTTAATTACTTGAGAGTCTCCTTTTAGTTGTCCAAGTGTAGCAAGTAGAGCTTTAGGAAAAAAACTCAGACATTGGCAACATAGCCAGTTGCTGTCTATTGTTAATGCTCTAGTTCCTTGCTGCCTGTAAACTTGTTTTTGCAATGCATATTGATCTGTGTGTTCTTAAAAACCATTACAAAACTGCCTACCTTTGTTTTCCACAGGCTTTGTTCAGGAAGTGCATCACTTCAAAAGACTGTATCTGATCCAGAAGGTACAGTGTATTCATTGAATATTTTTTCCAGCACTGCAAAATGCACTGTATGAGAGTTTAGCTAAATGCACATGAATTAAAGCTTATTACATTTGGCTCTCTTTGCACTGAAAATAAGAATCTGTTTTTAACTATTAACAGTTTAAAATGATGCATGTTTTGTTTGTAAGTTTCTTTCTAACAATGCTGTATTCAATATTGTTTCCTCAAGTTCCCAAAGAAGTTGTAATTCCAAGAAGGAAAACATGGTAAGTGTTTATTTTCCAAATATAACTGAAGGCTAAAAACATTTATTCTAAGACCATCTTGCTGAACTTAACTTGCTTCTGTAAGTTGCAGCGGTAGTTTCATAGTTTGTAGGGTCGGAAGGGACCTGAACAGATCGTCGAGTCTGACCCCCTGCCATGGCAGGAAAGAGTACTGGGGTCAAATGACCCCGGCAAGGTATTCATCCAGCCTTGTCTTAAAGACCCCCAAGGTAGGAGCCAGCACCACTTCGCTTGGAAGCTGGTTCCAGATCCTAGCCGCCCTGACAGTGAAGTAGCGCCTCCTGATGTCTAGTCTGAATTTATC